AGGGCTGGGTGATTAATCGAATTTTATTTTCAATTATGATTTTGGCTTCCAACAATTATGAAAACAAGATAATCATGACAAAATGATTATCGTGCCATATTGTCCTGTGTTCTAAATCACCCATCTTACGATCGGTTAAGTGCAGAGAACGAATTTCCAGACTGGGATCAATAAAGGATAACTTAAATCCAGCGTACCCCTTTCCTTTACAGAGGTCAAGCCAGTGGTGGCTGGATAAATATAATAAAATGAAAAAAGTTAAATAAATTCATATTTCTATTAAATCTTATTTACACACACACACACACACACACACACACACACACTATTATTTACAGAGACACAACATTTCCCACTATGAGCACGTACTTGGCAACAATGACAAGGACAAACTTGGGAGAGGGAGGGAGTCTCCTGCATAATGTTAAACAATCGTGATGTCAGTACTGACTAAATTAATTGTGATTATGTTTTCTGCCATTATCGAGCAGGCCTAAAAGTGTGACTGCACTTTTGGCGTGTGGGGTCGTGTTCTTGTGTTCCCAAAATGATGTATTTGAAAATCCCACTGATGAGGTATTCACGCCTTTGTAAACAGAACTATTCTGATAGCTCTGATTTCAAGAGTTGTGAAGTGTACTGCTTCTATTTTAAAAAAGAAAAAAGTTCAGCCAATGAAAGTCTCTTTAACCAACCAACCAACATTTTTCTTCCCTACAGTGAGAGATATTTGGGCTTCAGTGTTTTGCTCGAGCACACCTTAAAAAGTGGCCAGAAAGAGTTGGGAATTAAATCACCAAACCTACAATTACTGAGCAGCCCAATATACCAGCTAATCTACAGCTGCCCAGCCTTGCCTTGTTCACGATATGACAAAAACATGCATAAAACACAAAATCATTCACTATTGTAGAAAAGGGCTGTTTTTATCGTCAGTTGACTAGCAACAGTGTTCTTATGTCTTAAACCACCTGAGTACACCTTGTGTATTTGACTTCCTATATAAAAAATACAACCTCACAAATTGTATAAGACAATCAGGCTACTTCCCCGGTTGCTAGTGAATGCAAACACCCTGTAGGTTGATAATAATGATGATGATCATAAATAACAACAACATCAAAAGTCTGGAAAACATAGATCTTGGTGTAAAATATTCCGCCAAAGTCAACACCACCAAAACAAACAGTTACGTACAAGTTTATTTTAAAGCAACCATGAGGAGCCAGTGGCAATTCCCATACAGTATATTGTTAAAGTAATACTTTGACGGGATGTATTGATGTATATTTTGCGTTGCATCGTCCAGCTCGAGCTCTATATCTAACTCAGATGAGTGCAGCAAGACTCAGGAACAGTTTGCTATGAAACACTCAAGTGTGTGTGTACAAGATTCACAAAAGGTTTTACTGATACAGGAGAACATGAGCCACACTCTCCATCAATCTCTGTGCAAGCTATGAAACAAAATTATTGTCTTTTTTTTTTTATATAATTCCACTTGGCTGAGCCCACTGCAACCCAGCTGTGCTTCACCTCCTCCACCTCTCCGACCTCACCCCTATCTCATCATTCTGTAATAGACGAGTTTGGTGGTGGTGGCCTTTCAGCTTCAGGCATCACTCACACCCACAAGATGAGAAACGGTCAAAAACGATCAGTGAGAAACAATACGCCAGAGGCTGAGAGTTAGAGATAGGCAGACAATAGTTTGATGGTGTGAAAATCAATCAGCGTGTCTGTGAAAGACGAGCAATTTGTAATCTGGAATTGAGCCAAACTGTTAAATAAACTGGTGACAGTGTATGCATCTGTTTTTAACCTTTAATTAACTAAGCTTTATCTGTCTGTATACACACGCTAGCTTTCAACAACAACTTGTTTCTTATTCTTTCAGTTACACACCTGCACTGTACAACCACAGTCTCCAGCAATAGGCCACCGATCAAGTTCACTTCGAACAGCTGCAGATCAAGTGACTTGCTTAAGGGAACCTATGCCTCCCCTGACCATCTTTGACCCTCACCACGGCGTCTCCAGACTCTTTCACGTCCGTCACATGGCTCAGTGTGAAGCTGCTCTCATCTCTGAAGAGAACGAACGGAGCACCAGTGGTGGACCTGCCAATTCTGGTGTTCTCTGGCCAATGCCAATCAAGATGCACGGTACTGGTCTGTGAGGACAGATCCCACTAGAGGACGCTGGGCCCTCATGCCACTCTCATGGAGTCTGTTCCTAACAATTTGGTCAGAAACATGCGCATCAGTAGGCTACTGGAGGTAATTATGTAGGTCTCTGGCTGTGCCCCTTCTGTCTTGCTGCTGGGTTGATGCCCTTCTACAGCCCTGTCCAGGTCCCCTCATGTAACACTGCACTGACCGCCTCATGCTACCAGTACAGTAGTAGCAAGGACACTAGAAAAAAACGCAAAACTAGAGAACAATCAGTCAGGAAGGATAAGGAGAGAACATTCATCTGTGGTCACCACCTGCAAAACCATCCCTTTTCGGGGGAGTTGTCTTGCTGTTGCCTCTCCAGTGCACCTGTTGTCACCAAAACAAGGGACAATGATTCGCTTATGCTTCCTGACTGTACAGAATTATATCTCTGACGTTTAACTGACTTGATGTTATACTGTGATGATTAAGTGTTCCCTTCATTTTTTGAGCAGTGTATTTTTATACGTTATTTATATTTCAGAAGATTCTTTTAATCCAACACGAACTGTAAAAAAATTCAAGCATTTGTGTCCCCCAGAAATGTATTTTAAGTGTCTCAGTGGAGCTTTAGAGATTCCTGCGAGCCTCTGGTTTATGTTGTCCAGCATATATCCAACCAGTAAACTAAGTAAAACTTGTTGTTGCTTAAGATTTTTACAACCTAGTTTCAAAACCCAAAAGCCACAATTTGACAATTATTAGCCTATGTTATGAATCCAGTTTTAACCCATTAGACATTTACAGCTCAGAGTCTTCAGTCTTGTCATAAAAGGAGCAGAAGAATATGATTCTGTTCAGTGTTTCCCCTACCCTTGTTTTGGGGGCGCGGCCCCCCCAGAGCTCATCCCTTTAACAAACTCAGAAGTGAAACCACATCAGTAGATGCGAGACGCAAGCTTGTTGAAGACTTGGTGGCAGCGTGGGCGGAGTCAGATGTTAAAAAGTTACATGCGTCATTAAATAAACAAGGAGGTCGTGCCCACATGAGAGAAGCCTCGGTCAAACCCACTTATACCATGTGTTCAGCATGTGGTTGCAGTACATTTGTGAATTTTCCCCGTAAATAATTGCACATGCATTATTTCTATATGCACATTTGCATGATAAATCTAATACATTGATTTTGATTCAATTTGTAATATTTTCTTATTGAATTGTTAGAATTTTATTCGTCCAATACATGATTATGCACTCTTTCTGATGACTAAATGCGCTTAAATTCTAAAAGACAGAATTCAAAAGAATTCAAGAATTTTGGAAAAATTACAACAGACTTCATGGGGTCTATCCATGGTCTCGTCACCCACCATGTGAATATAGCAAAACTGTAGCGAGCTCCATCAAGAAGTAGTAACTTTAGCGGTAAAAATGTGAAAGAAGAACAGAGAAGGTACAGGCAAAATATAGTGTGCCACAAATCTGACATAGTTTGAAAAAAATCCTAGGGGAAACACTGCTGTTGCATCGGAGAACAACTGTACAGCTGCTCAGGAAGGAATCTTGTAATCATTATGTCAAAATGCATCCTAACAGCCAAAATCACAGCTCAGCTTTACTTCATGCTCATACATTCACGCACATGACCCTGCTTGGATCACATTTCACACTTTAATTGTTTACTTGTAAATAACACTTTCTCTCTTTACCCCGACTAAACCTGGATTTTTAAGTTCAAAAATCTCCTAACAATGTGTCAGCTGATTTTGATATGGATCCTTTAAATGTGGGTGTTACTGAGCAGGTCTTTTTACAGTTATAATATAAACTTGTATGTGCTTTTTGATGAAAACACTGTTTTCTCAATTAACCTAAAAGTATCTGTAGCATTTCTGTACTGCAATTTCTTATTGCTTATTGGCCAACATAATATATCTGCTATAAGAATATCGGCTGATCAGTATGGCTGATATATGGCATTAAGTCTTTTTTTAGGTTGTATGTAGTTCTTTTTCACTCCTATTATGAAGGATTTTCTTTTCTAAAACAAATTCTCCAAGAAACATGTTCCAACAATATCAGATATTTAACAATTAAAAGGGCGAACAACAATTTACTGTAAAGACATGAATTTTTCTAACCCTTCCAATTGCAATCAAATAGAAACTCCAAATAGTGTCATTGCCCTTCATATAAAACAAACACAAAATTCTTAGACCTTGGTATAACTGTGATCAGTATCTGTGTAACTGTGCCTGTGTGTTACTTTTGGTACAGTTTAGTTATTTGGTCTGTTTCCTACTATCCACTTGTTATGTCAGAACAGAGAATAAAATTGACTGAGTTTCCATCATGATCTCACTCAGGCCGCTGAATGTAACACAGTTGGAGGTAAATCTTAAACTGTAATTGTTACTAGCCACACGAGGTTTACTAGCCACACGAGGTTTAGCTCACACGTTATGGGTCTCTTAAGAGAAGCAGCTTCACTGATTAATAACAGGATCCCTGTTCTCATCACCTACGTGTTAGTGGTGGAATGAGGCAGATAAGACTGCCTCAACATTCATTATATTCTCCGTAGATTATTCCCGCCTGTTTGTGTTTGTATCCTTACATTCGTTATCACTGTGATAAGATATATATTTCCAACTTTACCGAACTGGTTTTTCCTATAATCTAGGACACAACAAAACTAAAATCTTGTACAGCATTAACTAATTCAATGCAAGCAGAACAGGTCAGGGGCTAGGCTTTACTTTTTGTTGCCATTTTCCCGTTTCTATATTCATTTCATTATTTTAAAAAAACAGAACAACCTGCAGCTGTGAAGTGAGATCTTACCTCTGACACACAGCAGGGACATCGCAGCGGGATTTTGTGCAACAGTTCCTCCAAAGCCGATGAGCCTTTAGTGAGTTTGCAGCCCAGTTGCCTGTTGCACAGCAGTCATTTAGACTACTCCTAAATGTCGTTTACTTCCCGCTTCATCCCACCCTGTCATAAACACAATGTACAGGTGTGAGACAGGTGGAAAATCCAGGGGGTCCCGAAGGTTTAAGGGATGACTGTCACTGGCAAAGACCGACTAACTACCGGCTGAAATCCGGTAGAGCTGGGCGGCTCTTATGCTGCATTTAAGGACTGCAGTGAAAGTAGGAATTTGGACTATTCAGCACATGCGTGCATGGTGTGGTACATGGTGTGGTACAAAAAATCGCATGTTTTCAGCAAACTCAACATGTGTAATCATAAAAATTCAACAACTAAGACATAAACTGAATTAATTGAATATGTATCCCTGAACAAAGGGAAGTTAAAATCAAAAGTTTCCAGTGTGGCCTCCAGCTGCATAAAGTACTGCAGCGCATCTCCTGCTCATCAACTGCCCCCGATTTGCCAGTTCTTGCTGTGAGATGTTATCCCACTCTTCCACCAAAGCACATGCAAGTTCCCGGACATTTCTGGGGGGAGTGGCCCTAGCCCTCAAGGATACCACATGAGGGAAGAGGATGTCTTCCCTGTAAATCACAGCATTAGTCCGACCATCACCCCTAGTGAGTCAAAGCCACGTCAGTCAAGAGCACTTTTTGCCAGTCCTGTCTGGTCCAGCAAAGCTAGGTTTGTGCCCAGAGGTTGCCATTGATGTCTGTTATTGACTTGCCTTACAACAGGCCTAGAAGACCTCAGTCCAGCCTTTCTCAGAATATTGTCCAGGCCACATTTGCAGTCCTCTGCCTCCTTGCAGCATGTCTAAGGCACGTTCATGCAGATGAAGTTTTTGTAATTGTGATCTTAATTGGCTGCAGTCTGTACACTGTTAGTGTCTTAACGACTGTTCCACAGGTGCATGTTCAGTGATTGTTTGATTCTGTTTACAAACCTTACAGTAAAGTTCTGTAAAGTTATTTGGATGTTTACAGTGTCCTGAAAAAGGGACATTTCTTTTTTTGCTGATGACATGAGTCCTGGTGTGTTCAGAATTTCTGTAAGAAGACCAAAGTTGTCAGCCTAAACATGTTTGACATTAGTCACAGGTAACTTTTGAACACAAAACTGAAGTTCTGTTCTGTTTTTTTTATTCACTTGAAACCAACAACTGTACACCAGAGCAGAAAAACCATCTCTCAACATTGGAGAAGGGCTGATACAACACATATCCCCCACTTACAATGTTGTCCTTTCATCCTTTCCCAGGAGTTTGAATAAATGCCCACATGTGACATTGCCAAGACATGTTAGCAAGTTTCCCCTCAACAACTCACAAAACAGATTTTTGAGATTGAGGTTTTTTTGTTGTTGTTTTTCGCTCACCTCAGATTACTCATGTTAAAAAAAAACATGTCTGTGTTGGTAAACATGCTCTGTAATAGTGCTATTTTTAAAGGAAAAAGAGTTTTTCTCAACTTTAAATTTTTGCTTGAAAGATGTTTACAATAAATCCATCAAAAATAATTGCAGATTTATTTTTTCCGATTGATTAATCCACTAATAGTTGCAGAACTAGAAAAAATACGGTATAAGCGGCATGTCAAAATCTCTTAACAGTGACTAAGTTATTGTGTCACTGTACATATTGTGGTAGTCAAACCTAGTTTGAGCTAATTCAAGTGATGAAGAATTAGTGTATCCTGTATCTACCTTGTGTATTATACATTAAAACTGAAAGTGTACTGAAGACTCATTCCACTTTAAGGCCTAAGCTTTAAGAATTCCTAGATACAAGGAAGCCAGAAACCAGTTTTTGTGGCAGGCTGAAAATGCAGTGTGGAGCACATTTCCTATTAGAAAGTTACCCTAGCGCAACACCTGCTCCGTACCTTCAAGCCCTTGTTGATTTTATAGGCTGGTTTTAAATGGCCAAAACCCTTCAAGGCTTTACAAGGTGTGGCACAAAAAACACTTAATGTTCAGTTAGATTTCCAGACCAATGTAGTGTAAAATACATTTTTTATTTATCTAAAGACTGTCATGGCACAAGTGTAAACTCAACAAGTCCCATCAATTGAAACACGTCAGAGATATCATCTGAAATGACACGAGCAATCAGTGGGTTTAACTTTGAACAATGAATAAAGCTTAACATTTAAGCATTCATATAGAGCAGGAACTAACTTGGAACTACACTTCCCCTTTAGTCTATGCCTTATGTTCTAGTTGAGGTTGTAGCCAAATATTCCTTTGCTTCCACGGGAGATGGGTCCCACTGTCTAAAAGTCAAACTCACAATGCCATGAGAACTATCTTCAATTTAGAAATGAACTACAAGAAAAAGTGTACCATTATGTAAACCCACCCCACTGAATCCTCCAAGTACACTTTCTGTACACTTTCATCACTGTTTGGCTGGTAGCTGGGCACCTGGGGCTGAAGTTTGAGCTGATAGTGATGCTGCTGGGACACGGACCACGGCTTTGGCAGGTTATAGGGCTGTTGGGGCTTGTGCTTGTAGCAAGACTGCAGGGGCCGAGGCCTGGGCATGGGTTGTGGCCAGTAGCGAGACTTCTGCCAATAACTGGGAACCTGGGGCTGAGGTTGGTAGCTGGGAGACTGGGGCTGGTACACTGGGGTCATTTACACTGGGGACGTTGGGGACATGTCCCCACCACATTTTGAAATGGCTGATTTTGTTCCCATCACTTTTTGAAAGCATTTGTTAAAAATGGTCCCGAAAATAGCTTGTAGCAAGAAATGAAAGGTTTATTTGCACAATAAGGAAACATGCAATGCAATTTAAATACAGAAGAAACAAATGTGCATTGTCCAGTGTTATATTCTGTTGTATTTTTATATTTCTGAATTGTCACCTGCTAGCTGATTTTTTTGTTTCTTAAATAAAGACATTTCCACTGTAAATTGGAGCAGAAAATGTCTCTAGAATGTAGGAAACTAAGTGTTTAATGCTCCAATTTTCTGCGGGAGGGACCCCATGAACCCCCACATATATTTCAGCATTTCATATTTCTTCAAAATAAGGTTAAAAATCTTCTTGTGTGGTTCTCATACAATGTCACGTCTCATGACCTAAGTGTATCATCAAACCCCTAAACTGAGCCCTCATGTCCCCACCACTTTTCAACACAAAGTGACGCCCTTGGGCTGGTAGCTCATGTCCCAAATTCCAGGCTCAAATCCATGATAGGAAGCTAATGGTAACCAACTAAATAATAAACTCATCTATACTCTCCTTTGAAAAATTAAGATATCAATTTCTGTGTCACAACCACAAGGTGAATGACTTCACTGTACTTTGTAGTCTTACATTTAGCGCTTGCCTGAATCTCTCCAATAAGCAGCAGCCATGACAGCATCACCACACTAACGGAGAAAAGCAGATACGATCTCAGTCAGTTTAGATACTGTAAATGTATAATGTTGAGCAAAGAAAGAACTACTTTAAAATTACCAGAGAATAAATCTCATGGCTTCAGCCAGAGATAAGTAAACTGAAATGCCTCTATGACTTCCGCTAACCCAAGACAACCAAAAGTAGTCTTCTTTGCACAGTTGTGGTGCAGTCATAATAAACCAAGAGAATCTATTTTTATATTTATATATAGTATATATGTCTTTCATATACCATATTACAATATATATCTTATATTCAACCGCAACACCCGTACACAGGATAAGCGGTTGACGATGGATGGATGGCTCTTATATTCATCACTGCCTTAAACTTTTCTCACTCCCAAGTCGTCACATATGGACGCTTGGTCAAGAGCCATAATCGTCAGTTTGTGACGCACTAGGGATCCCTTTGACGTCATAGTTCGACGTATTGAGGGAAGCCCTGTTGTGTCAGTTTTTGATGGTAAAAGGAAAGTATGATATTTAAGAGAAAAGACGAAGTAAGGAGGTGATTGGGGTGGATAGAGGGCCAGAACCTTCAACCAGACCTTGAAGCAGGAGAACAGGGTTTGTGTCCCGTGCGAAACAAAACATTAAATGTTTTTATTTAGGCGAGTGAGGTAAATTGACATTAACGTTAGTTAACTTAAGTCTTAATTGACATACATAGCTATTTTAACCCAAACCATGATCTTTTCCTAACCCTAACCAAGTAGTTTTGTTGCCTAAACCCAACCAAGTACTTTCTGTGCCTAAACCTAACGAAACTGCAACGTTTCACGACTTTAATTATGCGCGTTTCAACATGGCAATGTATCGAAACGTTACGTTTTATCTTGAAAGTGTAACCGGATATTGCATATTTATTGTTGCTAAGCGTTGCTAACTTCACTGTGGATCCCTAAACGTCAATAATTGATGCAAAAGGGCTACCCAAGTCTTTAAAAAGCGACGACAAAGGGCCTTGACCATGCGTCAGACATTTGACGAGTAGGGAGTGAGACTGTGTTGCAGAGACTGTGTTGCCTCAGCTACAAGGTAGCCTTAGTTTTCATGTCAAGTGGTGCCATCTAGTGGCAGAAAAAAGTTATACCCTGAATATAAATGAGTGGAGAAACATGCAATGCATCCACAAATGGCAAGGGGGGTGGTCACTGAATGTCCTGATAAACATGAAAATTAATCATATGCTATAGTCCTCACAGTTACTACATTTAAAACCAGTTGGCCACTACCATCAGGACACAAAATTGGGGGATTCCTTTTGATAGATAGTTGTTCCATCCCATAAGTGAATTTTAGAGGTTTTGCTAAGGAGTTACTAAGACACTGTAAATGTTTCTTTATTTTTGTCCCCCATCTGTGTATTTTAAATACACAATACACCAAAGGTGATAAACATTTAATACCAAATCAAGTGAAACAGTCACTTTTGTTGGTGGTTTGAGGACAGACACATATGTTATGGGTAGACAGAAAGTCCAAAAAGCATCAATTCAACTGCCTATAATGGCTGACAAAGAATACTATGGGGGTGGCATAATAACACTTAAATCTGCTATAATCAACACTTAACGCATAACTATTTGTTTTTAAAGGGGTTGCTTGGACAAACACATAGAGCCCTTTTTGGTCTAATACATTATGGAGCTTTAAGAGTCTTTCAGCTTTTTGTTGCGATTTGCCAGCACACACCTTTACTCTTTTGATTCAGTCTCACTACATTGTTTTTGGTTGACAGCTGTTTCCACTGACAAAAGGGAAAACGCCATCTGTCCACAACAAACAGCAGCCAGACAAAATTAGCGACTGAATATTAAACAGGGTGGTGCATTTAGCTGCTAATACTTTACATAAGTGGCCAAACAGTTAATGCAGGTTTAACACATATTTACACATATGCACATATTTACACATGTAACACAAAATTACTGACCACATTCTCAGCAACATATCAGAATTCAGGACTCCCATTATTTAGATCACATTTGTAACAATTTCTCAATTTATTATGTGGGACTACTGTATGTGAAGAAGTTTAAATATTGGAAATATATACTCAGTTTTGCTTGGATAGTTGTTTGTCCCAGTCAGTCAATGTTAGATAAATCTGGTGTTGTGGTTATGCAGTTTCAATTTCATTTTATTAGAAATGCTTTTCCAATAAAAATGTGCACCCATTCAGTAAAAAACATCTTGAGAACATATGATTGCCTTGAGTTTCCTTGTCTAGCCTCCAAGATGAGCTTCATGATGGCAATCACATTAATTCATCTGAGGCTCAAGGCAACATGAAATAGAAATGTGATGTACCGAGAATATGAGTTCCACCGACAGTTTTCCAAATAATTTGGAATTTCTATTTTTCCTGGACCACATGTGCAGAAACTATTCCAAAACAAGTCAGATTATTCCAAAACAAGTCAGATTGAGTGTACTGTAGATCAGTGGTTCAACTTTGTCTGCATCATTCTGCTTGTTAAGACAAGTGGGTTTAGCACTTTACGATGCAGACATCAGACATAATTTTTTGTCAGTTCCAAGACCATCTGAATTAAGTTAAAGTGGGAAAAATATAAAGTCACAATTACAAATTGCATTTTATTTTGACATCAAGTCAACTGGGCCCAATCAGTTGAAGATGTCATGCACCCGCTGAAGTATCAGCGCTGAAATGATAGAGTAGGATCACAAGTGACCATCTTAAACAGGTTGTAGACTGTATGGGTTAAAAGGTCTTACCCTTCAGATTCTTCATAACCCCCCTGGTTAGGCCTGTAACCAGACACTTCCTTTGCCAACATAAGATTGATTCCACTGTGTCGGGACCTAAAATGACGTACCATGAGAACCTCCAAGAACTGACCTTAGATGAAATTTCATTGAACAAGTAATACTATACTGTAATCTTACGTTTAGTGCTCACTTGAAGAGCAGCAATAGCAACACCACACTTATACAACTACAACTCAGTTTTCCTTCCTCAATGATGCAGTATTAAAGTTCCTTGTTTTGAAAGCCAGAGCACTTCCTAACTGACTGATTGGAAACAGTTGAAATTAAAAGTGCTGAAATGAAGATACAAAGGGATTCAGACATTAGTGAAAAAGATTCACATTGTATGCACCATGTATTTGGTACTGTCAAGGGTTAATTGTGGCTATTAAATTCATTTTTTAAAATAAAAAGTGAATTTACCATTTCTGTCATACTTGGCTTTGGTAGCTTCACCTTTACTGTTTAACTAATTTTATTGCGAGTGGCTAAGTGAAAAAACAGCCAAAATTCATGTAATTTTTTTTTTCTTCCTGACTTGCATCGCTGTGGTTGACCGAGTTCAGCAGCAATAGAGTAAAGACCTCATGTTAAAGGAAAACCATTTTACACCTTCACATCTGGCAAATGAGCCGGATGTGAAGATGTAAAATGTTTTTCTTGTGTGTGATGTCAGGCGTTTCAAGAATATGGAGGCTTTAAGCTTTCAAATGACATTTTATATTCAACCGCTGAAAGCATTTTGAGGTGCTGACAAATTTAGACCTCCACTGAAAGCATCTTGCAGTCTTTACAACAGAACCCTTGGACAACTACAAGGAACAATCTATTATAAGAGCATGGGTTCAAAATATGCTCCTTAAAAACAGTAACATTGTATAACCAACAGATGGCGCTCTGTCTACACAAGGGACAAAAGGGACATGTAAGTATCTGAATCCTACTCATTTATGCCTGACCCAGTGCAGGTCCTATCACTGTTACTACTAGTTCTAATTAGTATTAACCTGTGATTTAAAAAAAAAAAAAGACAATGATTCAATCTATATTTGGAAGGTGTATGAAAATCCATTAAACGCTTGCCTTTGTTCCTGAAATAGAGGCAATGCACTAAATTAGAGACCAGTTCAAAATAACTAAAGTGATAGTTTCTCTCTGGAGCAGAGATGCTTCACTTTTCACCAAATAACCCACAAAACTACATGACAACAGCTTGTGTACTAATAAGGAGTAGATGTCCTGCTCAATGGCACTTCAGCAGGGTAGATGCTTCAAAACACGGTTCCGTTGAGACAAAAATGCAAAACATCTTCTTCAAATCAGATATCTGAGTGTTAACAATGGTTGTTTTCTTACAAGTTAAATATTCTTTTTCTGGTAAAGTAGCCATTGCTTAAATGTAAATGACTATTTTACATCACAGAAGTGAATAAACCTGTCCAGAGCTAGAGATTGATTTTTCTGTTTAACACCATCAGTCAAGCTTGTTGGCACTTTGATATCTTGTCTTATCTCCAGTTTTCAAGTGACTTATTTTACTACCAGTCTCAGTACAGCAGCACTAATTTTAAGAGTAAAATAATGGTTGCAGTTAGTTTGGACTGAAGATTATTAGAATAGCGTGCACATCTAGACATATTTCTGTATATTTAGTACAGAACAGTAGTCTGACTTCTGAATCTATTTTTTAATCTCAGTTTATTTGTTAGTTTTCAGATACTCACTATTGTTGTTGTTCAGTAATCTATAAAAATCTATGATGCCCTTCATTGCTGCAGCTATGATACAATTTTCCCACAGGGAACATAAAGGTTTCATAAAGTGAGACACTGTTGTGTTCTGAGAGGGAGCTGTAGCGGTTTGTGGGGTTAAATGAGATAAATGGAGTTAAGTCAAGATAAATATTGTGTGATGAACTGAACATTTCAGATGGTTAAATTATTAAATCTAACATGCTGCTCTGGACAGTGGTTAGGTCTGGTGACACACTGACCAAGGATCTAACGTGATAATGTTCAAATTTGCATGAATAATTAGATATGCTAATATGTTCTGCTTTAGGTTAAAATCTAAATTATAAGCAGAATTAATCATTTTAAGCCATTTGTTTGTATACATCAGGACAATGTTCTTTCTAGATTGTGTACGTCTCCTTTCATCCAATAAATGCTAACTTTTAATAGAGCAAACAGTACAACATAAATTATTTCTCTAGACACACAGCATGTCCACCTCCTCAAAGACTGAGTAGAGCTCCTTTGGCCATGGAGAACTGTATGATTTACTCCAAATAAACAATTTACATAAACTATCATCTGCCATTTCAATTAGGTGATACTATAGTTGGATCATTTCACAGATCCTTATACACTTACACACACTACAGCCCTTGTCTCCTCGAAAACATCTTACTGCTCTAAATTATATAAAGTCTGCAATTTGTTATTCTTTTTTGTTATTTTCTTTTAGACCCATACCCCTGCTGCATAGTTCAGTATGGGGGAGACAAGTTTCCTGCACAGTAACTATTTATATGTGTGCACGCCATGCACATATTTGCATGCATAAAATTGTGCTAAATAACATTTAAATTGAACTTAAATTATGTGGAATAAGCAAATTCATTACATAATGCCACTTTGTTAATGCCAGTGCAGTTTTCTAATCAATAAAGCTTCAGTGGATGCCATGCTGAGGTGACAGGCCTAATGAGCGCCAGTCGTCCCACCCAGGATTAGATAATCCAGTCTGGGACCAAGCAGTGACCTCAGGCTGACGTGACGCTCCAGCCCAGCCCATCCTGCGATGCAACGCCGCTGTGCGCCCTGCAGTCTCACAGAGAAAACAATATTCCCACGCGTCAAGGACTAGCAGCTCGCTTATCCACGGCTACATATGCTTTTCATCGAAAACAGACCTACTGTCGAACAACTGCGGCAAGGTGAGTGTGTTCAATTTTGATTTGTGTGGGGTTATTTGGTCAGAGCTGGGTGAGAACAGGCGGAGGAAAACGGAGAAAATGTTCAGTTTAGCAGCATCGCATCAAAAGATGCCTTTTGTCACACCGGGGTACGACGCAGCCTCGGCATTCAACCGATATTTTCCGCTCCCAAATTGGCTTGTCGTCTTCAAACAGACGTGAAACGCTTTAAAGGAAACATGCGTTACGTATTTTTTTTTCTTCGCAGGCAGTGGCACAAAGGCAGCGAAGCGGCGGGTAACGGTTTGACACATCATCGGCGTGTCATCGTTTATTTGCGGTTTAAAAGACCTTGCACACCGGATGAAAACACTTGATAAAACACAATCACACTTAAAATACGGTCATGATACACTGAAGTGGTTCAAAGTTGCCACACTAGCGGCCTGCACCCCTATATTGTCACCGTAATGACCCGATATTGCTAGAACAGCGGTACACAACCAGCGTCAAGGTGGACAAAACAAAGATACGATTTCCGCTGAATATTTAGCAAAATAAAAGCCCGGTTGCGTTGGGAAATCCTTGAACCAAATGTGATGATTGAAAAGACAACAATGTTAAAATTAATCTTATAAGCTTATTCATTTGGCAGTACGAGTCACTTGAATTAAAACAGAAGAATCACGTTATGTTTCACTTGCAAAACTGAACGTAACTATCAGAGAGGCACGACCAAAGTAAATTAAAAGAATTACAGGATACAAATGGTCAAAACCTCACCAAAATAAAACAGTAAGGTCATTATGTGGAAAAAGTCCAATTATATGTATTTTCTAAGAGTTGCTAATAAAATCTGTTAGTCAAAATCGGGCAAGGATAAAGTCATAAAATGGAGGCCTGCAACATTAGTGGAAGGCACTTGCATATCTATTATTTCATTTAACACAATAAACATTAAGAATATGAACCTACTCATTATAAAACCCTCTGGAAATACAGTATGGTTCATAATATTTCTCTTTAATTTGTGTAGCCATACATTCACTTTATGTAGCTACATATGAGTTAATTTGACTATTTTGAAGTGATTGTTTTTGCCATAGATGTACTAGGTTATTGAAAGCATTCTTTCCTAGTGTACACACCCAGGCTTTTATTTTGAAGGCAGGCTGGCTGTACTTCCTGATGTATTCTGGATGACACTTGCTGGTTGGTGTCTTGAGGTGCATTGCTCATTGCATGCAATATGGTGGGGATGCAGATAACTGGCCTAAACAGCAATAATATCCTGTCATGGCCACAGCATTAACCTATACCTTTTGCAACTTAGATAAATGAATATGAAATGTATGCTAGCTGCAAATCATCATAGTAATTATGTAATATTCCTTTAGTGCACAGTTGTGATCTCTAAAGGACTTCTTAGTGTATATAGTGTGGTGTTTTTATTAGGCACATTGTGGTTTCCTGTGGGATCTACAGTATCTTTCACATAATTATTGTCTGAGTTTATGTAATTCTTAGCTTGTGTTGTCTTTGACAATGACAGTCCACGCTGGTACGACATAGTCTGACACCGTGCTGTTAGAGACATGAAACGACTTCAAATTTCAGGAGGAGATTAGAGGGGAGGAAATACTTGAAAACATAGTTGTCCTCTGTTATGGAAAAAAACATTCTGCCATGGTGTCTGGTCTTCAGAACAGAGATATTTACAGTGTCAACATGTTGGCCACCTGCTTGCTTTTGCAGCATAATTATCATCCATTTCTTACTTTCCTATGAGTCACTGCCTGAAGATAGATGGGTACCTGTTCATTTGGGGAAATCGTATTTTTAGTATTATCTTCTGTTACTGGCAGTAGCAGAAGTTGCTGCAACAGTTCTTCTTTCTCAGATTATTCACCTGGATTTGTTCAGATAAGTAGTTGGTTGATTTATAATGAAGGTTTCCTGCAGAGGTAAACCCTGAAAATGCCTGATAAATGTACGGTATAGAGGAATATTGAAATGGCTGCTGCTGTTTTATGTCAGCATAAATATTTGCACAAAACCATCCCTCCTTTTAATCAAGCATCGATTAAAGAAAGAAAGAGATCAGAGAGGTAATGTGATCATAAATTTTTTGTCCTGATAACGAGTTGAGCAGCAGCGTTTTGTACCGGTTGTAGACGGTGGAGGGAGCCCTGGCTGATACCCGAACAAAGTGCATTGCAGTAATCAAGCCGTGAGTAAATAAAAGCATATATAACTTTGGGTAAACCAGCAATTGCTAAAAATGATCTATGTTTTAGAAATCATCCTGAGCTGGAAGAAACATGACAGAACAACAAAGGTTAGTATCAAATATAACTCCCAAGATTCCTAGCAGCCTGCTTAATATTAACTGACAGACCACATAGACCAAAAGAGCTGATGAAGTATGGAGGACCGGACAGAATGACCCCAGACTTATCATTGTTAAATATAGCCAAGAGGCAGCATATACAGTGGGTACGGAAAGTATTCAGACCCCTTTAAATTTTTCACTCTTTGTTTCATTGCAGCCATTTTCCAAAAATCAAAAAAGTTCATTTTATTTCTCAGTAATGTACACTCAGCACCCTATCTTGACAGAAAAAAACAGAAATGTAGAAATTTTTGCAAATTTATTAAAAAAGAAAAACTGAAATATCACATGGTCATAAGTATTCAGACCCTTTGCCGTGACACTCATATTTAACTCAGGTGCTGTCTATTTCTTCTGATCATCCTTGAGATGGTTCTACACCTTCATTTGAGTCCAGCTGTGTTTGATTATACTGATTGGACTTGATTAGGAAAGCCACACACCTGTCTATATAAGACCTTACAGCTCACAGTGCATGTCAGAGCAAATGAGAATCATGAGGTCAAAGGAACTGCCTGAAGAGCTCAGAGACAGAATTGTGGCAAGGCACAGATCTGGCCAAGGTTACAAAAAAATTTCTGCTGCACTTAAGGTTCCTAAGAGCACAGAGGCCTCCATAATCCTCAAATGGAAGACGTTTGGGACGACCAGAACCCTTCCTAGAGCTGGCCGTCCGGCCAAACTGAGCTATCGGGGGAGAAGAGCCTTGGTGAGAGAGGTAAAGAAGAACCCAAAGGTCACTGTGGCTGAGCTCCAGAGATGCAGTCGGGAGATGGGAGAAAGTTGTAGTAAGTCAACCATCACTGCAGCAATCCACCAGTCGGGGCTTTATGGCAGAGTGGCCCGACGGAAGCCTCTCCTCTTCTTTTTTAATAAATTTGCAAAAATTTCTACATTTCTGTTTTTTTCTGTCAAGATGGGGTGCTGAGTGTACATTACTGAGAAATAAAACGAACTTTTTTGATTTTTGGAAAATGGCTGCAATGAAACAAAGAGTGAAAAATTTAAAGGGGTCTGAATACTTTCCGTACCCACTGTATATGGAGAACAGAAGGGGGCCAAGAATGAAGCCTTGAGGGACTCCAAAACTGAACTGAGCGGAAGAGGAAGTGATTTACCCAGAGTGAGAGAAGATGTTCTGTTGGAGAAGTATGTGTGTAAAAATCTAAGCCTGAAGCTTGATTTCTACCAGACACGGTTTATAGAGGAGACACGCCACTCAATCACATCCTCAATACAACTCTATGGGGAAAGCCTGTAACGGCAAAGATGGCAGTTATCCCCTCCCACTAGAAAGCAATGGTCTGCTTTTAACAGCCAAGTGGCACGACTTGCCTATAAAGACTTTGTTCCTACCCACATTTCTAAGCAATGTAAGAGCATACCATGATCGGCTGTATCGATCTAAAAAAATTTAAATCGAGCAGTCACCTCTGTCTGCTGTCAGCAGTAGGTCATTAATGTTAAGAATATTTAATTTTCATTTCATTTATTTGACAGGGAAAGTGCTCATTAATTAACAGTAAAATAACTGTAAATGAGCCAGAGTTAGCTCAACAGGCTAATTAAGAATATTCTTAGGCGGCGTAATTGATGTAACAGGGAAATTGAAGACATGTCTAGCTTGGAGTCATTAGCTGACCCTACAAGTGTTCCCTGACCTTCCAGGTCTATTTTTTTCTGTCATGTTACTGTCCTTGTTAGGGAGACAGTGGTTAGACTGATAATGTAAGAGACAGTAGCTCAGACGTCAGGCTAGCGGATATCGGCGTTCTCTGGGAATCTTACAAGGTTCAGTCTTTACAAGAATGTTTACAAGAACTTACTGGCTCCACAGACCACAGTACAAGTCATGGATAGTAATAGATTCCAATTTGGCATAGCATTGGAGTCTAAACATCAGACAGATTTGTTGTTTTGCCAGTTCAAGATGACCTAATAGGGAAATCCTGTAGAAACTAGGGGAAGGACAGAAACATAAAAGGGACCAAAAGTCTTGTTAAGCTTCAGATTTGGTTGTTGTATGCTGCACTGTAGGTTTCAATAAACAATGCTATGTTATGTCATCAGTCTCCAAAGTTTCTTCATCACACCTGAACATGGCTCACAATAATTCAAAAGGAAAAGAACCAGAAGCAAGAGAATTGTTAAAAAATTGCCAGATTAAAGGGCTAACAGAGAAAAATACCTCCTTGAGCAGTTTAGTGGGGATTATATCTAATATGCACAAGGAGGGGTTGAGACTGCACTCTTTAACACTAAAATTGCAATTGGTTGAAACTGGGTAAAAGAGGCAGAATTAACATGGGGAATGGAGAGAATGCAAGAGTCAGGCTGAATTTGGGACCTGATATTCTCCGCCTTATTTACAAAATGAGCAAGACATTTTTCGGGTAGCTCAACATCCGGTTCGGGGAAAGAGGTGGAGGGATCACTAATAACAGAATCAGTTACCCCAAAAGGCCAATCTTGCATCTTTAACTGCTTTCTGATAAATGAACATTTGGGTTTTTAAGTATGCTATGTGTTATTTCGGACTTGTTGTTCTTCGAGTGTAATTCAGACAAGGGAGGTTATTTGATTTTTGTTTCCCTAGTTTTAAACGTTGCAATTTGGTCAAGGGTGGTTG